ACAATCAAAGGCATACGGAAATTTCAATAAAGGATTTATGTAAACGATTTAATAAGACGGACCGAACCGTAGACGATTGCTTAGGTACATCATCAAATCCTAAATATGCTGTTTGTGCGACATGCAGTGAAGCTAAAATGTAGAAGTATGTATTTTGTGTATCGTGGCCCTTTTTAACATAGCTCGCAATTCTCGACAAAGCTGAAACAAGCTTGTTTAAAATCAAAATTCAAATTAGAATTAAAATATAAATTAAGCAAAGGGGTACTAATGTTGGATGCGCTCGCATGTATTCCGTCAAATGGCTTATGCCGTCAAATAACTGGTCGCAAAATGCTACCGAATTCACGTGAAATCTATTATTTATTTGCACGTATCTTAAAAAGTTCGTGTTATAAATTACACTTCATATATAACTCTCTCTCTTATTTCTTTAGAGCCACCTCTTAACCGACAAACGCCAGTAGCTGCGGAGAACGCACTTCCAATCCTCTCTACACCTTGGCCATTACATTCCTATAGAAAGCCTTTCAACGGTCCCGACTTGTTAGGCAAGGCAGGTCACCTACTTGTACAAAGAGAGAAAGCGCCGATGCCCATTGAAACTGCTAGGCACTAAGCTACATTTGCAGATACGCTCATTCGGTTGACTGCGGATGCATTGCTTGAAGAAAGCGCAAAAATAGGTCAAAGACGTAGGTCACGTACTACGTTATGCGTAATCTCACATTAATTCGAAGAAAGCTCGAGAACAGCAGTGTGGCCTGTATGGGGCATGTTCAGTTACAGTTTGGTAGTCCAGTGTGCTGGCGATTTAGAGCTTAGCTGCCCAGAATAAACCCGTATCAAACCGGAACAAGGATCCGCAGATTTAATATAGCATCTATAATTTACAAAACGACACGACTATCGCAACGATTTGTCTATCGATAATAACGTTCCAAGACATCAAGTGATTCTAGTTATTTCTGAATATTGCTCCCACAATTTAAGATTAATATAATATAACTACCTTTGAATGTCATTGAGCCTAGACACAGTGAACAGTACGCAATACGCGAATCGGCAGTTACAACAATACAAAGTGTGTACACAATGAAAAATCATTTTGTAAAGATCGTTTATATATAGCCTAACCTAACCTAACCTAAACCTCTTCATTAACTACGCGTTTATGATGTAAATGGCATCCTTGGTATAGATTCAATGGAAGCATCGGTAAATCTTCTGACAGTCGACACAGAAGCTTTGTCGTCTGGACAATGAGGGCTGTACTATTGTAGGTGTCTCGATTCGCAGCATATGTATATATATATATATATATATATAAGTGTGAAGTCAAGAAGTGGGAAATTCGCAATGGGTCGTCAGTTGGGCAAAGGCTAGAGGATGGACTGGAGTATTGCTCATCCGCACAGACGGAGGTTGGGTTGGTTAGCTTACTGGGAAAGTCGTGCTGGTGACCAAGCCTTTCTTACCCTGTTGGGGCGAGCTGAGAAGTAAACCGGTGTCAAAGCGAAGTCGATTTGCTTAATGATCGCGCTTGATAACTACGTTCGCCTAGGACGAACTCAGCCTCTGCTAGCCTTTCGTTGACATACGGAATATACTGCGAAGATTAGGCGTTGGCCTGCTGACTCGCCTATACACCAGCTAGATAATAATTGGATACTTTACCCAACAAACCTATGCTAACATACGCTTATAGCTGTGCAGGTAACTAGTTTTCATTTTCAGGAATAATTATTACTAGTGTTACCGATGTATTTATTTGAAGCAATATATCACGCACTCGACAGCTACATCAAGACAAGCGCTAAGTTGGTAATTTAAATTTAACTTTGCAAAAATATCGCTACTTTCACGATTAGATTAAAGGCGGTTTCTAAGCATATACTGATAGGCGCGTTAGTAAAAGCGAACTATAAGGACTTTTTAGGATATACGTGTAATAGGTCAGCAGTGATTTCGTTATATGACAGATTGTAAATTCTCAAGAAGTTCGAGTTGAAAACTTAAGTAAGTAAATCTCCCTATTTAACGTTACCCATATTGCTGAGTTGGCTATGGTTGCTCACACTAGCTTAGCACTCCCATGACGTTCTGACCCATCCACTAACGCTTATCTAACCTCCAATAGCCATAAGTCGAGTAGGGTAACGGCGGCGTTAAGCAATAATCGTACTATCATCTTACCTAGCTTACTTCACCATTTCATGGCCATCTATCGACAGCATAACAGTGTAGCTTACACCGATGTTACCACGGGGACGTTTCCAAGCTGCCTCATCCGACATTTAACACTATGAAGCTGGTTTGCGCTTTTGACGATTTACGAATCGGCTTCAACGTGCCACCCCACGCTACGGCCCCAAGAATGGACCGCACTCGCGACTATACTGACCTGTTACTAGACAATAGTTGCCATTTCACCGATGTTTGGACATGGTAGTGACACAGTCACGTCCACCGACTCTCGACCGTCCCAATGAATACCTCACTTTAGAAGAGCTAAAAGCCAATCTCGTCGTCGCCGATAACGGTAGATACAGAAAGGTTTTATCGACCGATGCAACCCGCTGCGGTTTCAGTTAAACAATTGATCAGGCTTATATTACTTATGTATATCTGGATAGGAGTTCCTATAAGCAGCTTCGAGTCAGCTATGAAGCGTACGACTATTGGCTGGAGTGATCAAGTCTTGCTGGGAAGCCCTAGCTATAGTGAACTCGCTTACAAGGCGTGTGGCCGTACTTACTGGTCAATCTAGAAAAAACAAAGTTCAATATATATATATATATAATGGAAAAATAATCCAATTTACGTGACCATTCTATTCGTTTTGCGCTGATAAGTTCCTGAATTCGGGTTGCAGTTAAAAAAACCAATAAGGTAGGATCGGTGCCTCAGCAAAAAACATCCTTACGCTACAGGTCGAAAGCGCTATTCAATTTCGTACAAACCTTAGGTCGAAGCCCTCCTCCTTTCTTTGCTCGATTGAATACACTCTTAAACGAGTTGCCTCGAGGCTGGACGATGCCTCGAGATTGCACAGAGCGAGGACGAATTCCTTTCAAGTAATTGCAGAAAACCAATTCCTATTGAGTTTCGAACGTTACAATAGGGAGGGAGGGGGTAGGTCTTCGCAAAATTGGCGTTCATGACCTACCACATGAAGATTTAAGTGAAAGCATTATTCTGCTTTTGAAGAAATCCATAATGATCTGCTTGATAGCATTATGTTCTTTACATTACGCTGCAGAATTCACCAGATCTCAGACCAATCGTACCATATATGAATCACTTATGCTTATCCCTCGACATTAGCCATTTTCTTCTGAAAGTAAAAACTTACATCTATTTCGGTTCTTCTATATGCACAGCACTAAAACCAGTATCAGTAACCGCACTACAGTATTAATGCACCATATCTATGATATTCTAACGCTAGACATGTAGGATCTAACTGAAATATAACTAGCGTGTTTTGTACAATTGAGCCCATATACTCTACAAAATGTAAAAACCATCGACGCGCTTACGCCTCCTCCATATATTTGATTAACTGTAAAAGAGTAGCGTTCGATCATAACACCGGTTATGCTATACCACAGCCAGGCGTTTCTCTTGTTGAAATATCTGACGCTATCTTTATTAATAAAGTGGCAGCAGTAATGCGACGAAGATGGTCCAGCCGAGTGTCCAGCGAAGGGGCAAGAAAAATTTGGTTTCAGGGCAACGTCTGCCAGCCATGCTTTCTGGTCTATTACAATCGTTTCGTAGAGATAATGAGGTCTCTTTCATAGAAATGCAAATTGGAAGAGATGTCGAACGACGGATAGAGACTGATGGACTCGATTCAATGATTACGCGGTATTGTGCAATGATTATAGTAAAAGCGAAATGAGCAAACATTTCTATACGGGAAACACTAGTTGCGTTTCTGCAGGCTGACCAAGTTGAATTAGACGTTAGTTTTTATCATATTTGTACTTACCGTATAATGTATATTGATTTATATTACACTAGAAGCTTCCTTCTACAAGCCGTGCAAACGGGTAGCCAATATGTTATGCAGCGTCGACCGTAACGTAAGCATGCATCAATGTTTAGTTTCAATATTGGCGGCAAAAATTTAAACGCCGGACGAAATGCTATGCAACGTCAGAACGTATACAAAATGTCTGGATTTAGATGCAGCCCCAGATATACACAGGATAGGACACCTAAATAAGAAATGTTGCGTAAAAACTGTATTTCAACGACGACAACAACAGATTACGACAAAATTTCGTGCATATCATTCCTGACGGCCATGATTATTTAAAGCAACCATCATTCACCCGGTCTACAGCTTCGATTCAGGGTTGAAACTACCCGCTTGTCATTCTCGAGATATTTTTCGTTAATACGTAAACATCTTTAACAATGACAAACAGCGCGTTAGTCCAGATTGGTAGGTATAGATGGTCAAGCACCCCACATATACATCTTATAAAATTAAATTTTGGGCTAATCACAGGTCATAACCGCGAGGAATGCAAGTGGCTAAAAATGAACAAAATGCCCGAAAAACGAGTCATCGTTTGAGCCTATCTGGTAGCACAATAAATTGGTATTTTCCTCTCCAATGTAGCCGTTATTTCTCTATAAAAAAAAAATTCGTAATATACCAACAACAACACAGTGTTTTGGAATCATTTCTGGTGATTTTTAAGTCGTTCAAGTCTAATCCCTAAGTTGAGGATCTGCTAGTTTGCCTCATAAAAATTTAGGATTTTTCAGAAACCGCATGAAAATTGGCGATAACGTAAAGCGTCGATTTCGAGCAAAAGAGGAATTATTTTCTAGCCTCACTGCCGCTTCGCCCAACCCGAATAGACCGGATAATAGCTTTGTTTTTTTCTGCCGTGACGAATGTTTGTTTTGTTTTAAAGGAATTGGCTTTCGTCTGCTACCAATAACAGCCCGCCAAAGCTGGCTCGGATTTAGACGCCGCACTTTGTATACATATCAAATGCATCCAGCTTATTCTGTTAACGACACTGAGTAAAATTTTGGAAGGAATTGTTTAGAATCATCATTATGTATTAAGAAGATTTTGCGTTTCGTCCTTTGGACAACTCAGACACTCAATCGGTCATAGTTTGGATCATGCTCAACTGGTTCGATCTATTTTAGCATGATCTATCTGTCGCGGAATTGCTAGCGTGATTTTAGTAAGTATAGGCTGTTTTTCTCGTTCACACAGCGAAATACAATGATCAAATATAATAATTTGACGATTATATTTTGTTGAAGACAACAGTTCACCTAGATGCATTGAATAGAAGTAGCGAGTTGAAGTTGGGTTAACGTGCCTACACGAGCCCGTCTGCTTATTTGTGTGTATGTAAGTCGTGTATAGACTGAAACTTCAATTTGATCGCCATATCCATACGCTAGTGTCGCTTGATGAGCGGTTAGCGTACAATATTATACTTAACTGCACTCCGCAGCTTCATGCTATTCGTACCAAGCGGCTACTGGTTTCTGGCCAACAAGAGGCTATCTGAAAGGTCCGCTTGCAGTCACCATCAACATAATAAAATTGGCTCGTTTTCCCTTTAACAACAACGCTCCGGTACGCAGTTTGCCGAAGATGGCCTTATAAACGCCACCGAGGACGCTGGGCGCCGTCTTCCTCTGGCCGATACGTACATCGAATACGGAACCTGTATATATTGACTAAGGTGGTTATCTGAAGCATACCGACGCTGTTAGCATTTCTACACCCACCTTCAAGGTAGGTAATTCTAGGCTAGTTTCCATGACCATACGAGCAATACAGAACGTGAACACAGACCGGCACAATCATAGGCTGCCGCTAACTGATCGTAGTAATTTTCACCATTTGAGAAGTTTCATAAGTTATCAGATTAGTGGCCCTGCACATCTACCCACCTATATCGCCTCCAGTGAGCTTTTCAGGTATTTTTACCTTATCTTGTTAGCTGAACAGACGCACGTCCGAACAAAACACTAACTTTACGTAGCGCTCAATCAGTATCTGTTGCATTTGGGCCTTGTTGCGCAACATATACCGGTATATATTGTAGAAGAAATGGCGAGTGGGAAGATTCGCTCTTACATTTCCCTGGCAACCATTAGCATACAGCAAGACCTCCTATAGTGTGTCTTGCCTACCACAGGAAAAGGAAACTCGGATCTGTTTGTGAGTATCGTTGCCTTGTTTTATAAGGGCAAAGGAAAATCACAGAAAAGAAAAAGTAACAGAAAAAAGCCAAATATAAGCATTGCCAGCGCTCGCTAGCAACACTGCTACAGTGGCGGTAACGACTAGCTGCTGTCCTTTTCGGTTCGCGTGCCGCAGCGCCTGCCTGTCACCGGTTTTGGTCCATCGAGGGGTGGAAACAGTGGCTGCAGTAACATCAGCTGTTGTATCCGCTGAACTTCCTTAGCTGCACTGAGCAATGGGCCATCGCTGGTCTGGTCGTTACCCCCACGCCCGCACTAAAACCCACGCCGTCGCTGCCACCTTCATCTGCGTCCAGGTCGTGGCCTATGGAGAACGGGAGTTGACTGGCTAGCTTTTTATATACTCTATTTCCGGTCGGGTCGCCGCGCAGATGGCAAAAAGACGGGCAACATGAAACCGAATCCCATTCGAAGCAGACTTTTTCCTTCCGGCTTGAGACGAAACCAAAGTTGCAGCAGTTGAAGGAGATTATTACAAATGAGTTCGGTTGGTTTTCATATAAAATATATAAATCGATATTTTAAACTTATATAGTATTATTGTTACATAATGTACAATATTTGCGATAGCTTTATTTTGACAATTGCTGTTAACAATTGATAACATCAGTAATGGGCACGCTAGACAATGTCCAATATTCAATATCACCAAAGATTTAGTCGTCTTTGAACCGAATTTACCGAACATTCCGTTTTCCTAGAAGCTTCTACCTTCAACGCTAGAAAAGCTCGTTCGAGGTGAGCCATTGCAACAAAAATTCTGTTTCAACTTAGGTATTTGGCAAGACATGCGATTCGATAAGGTCTGTCGAGACATACACTAAGGAAGGATTTGGACTATAAGGACGAACAAAGCGAAACACTATAAATTAGTTTCAGCCAATCAAAGTGGTTCACTTAGAACCAGGTAGATTTACTTATGGGGCATCCTGCCTCCGATACTATGCGGAATTTTATAGTTTGTATCGAGTCGACTAGTAAACCTGCTATAGTAAAAAATAGTTTATGCGTTCCATTAGTAAACTTTTCACGAAATCACCGACAATAAACTCCAAACGAAGCTACAGAATATGAGTTTTGAAGGATTAATGCTGATGTGAGCCTGATATACCCATTGTGGTATACCGAATAAAAAGTAAGAAGAACAGACCATTACGGTGTAATGTAACAGAAATTGATATTTTTATTAAATACAACAATTCAATATAATATATAGCAAAGTATTTAGGCACTTCTTAGTTCTCTTCAGCGTGCGCTCTGAATATTTATTTTGACCAAGTAATTAAAGCGCCTTAGATTTTTCATTCATTACGATGTTTTTATATAAACAGTATTCAGGTCTGAATTTCACTGTTTCGAACTTTTTCAAGCGATGTTTAGCCCGAACTAGTTTTAAACACGTTAAGATACTGCATCGGCTTTTTTCCTGAACCGACTTTTTCTTCCTTTGGTCCTTACTACTTGGTCCAGCTGCGCGAATCTAGGCAAGTTAAGGCCAGCACGGTCGAACCTCCGCAGACAGTGTCCGCATTTTTCAGATGAACTTAAGCAGTTGGTTGACTGCTTCAATCTTCAGGATGTGCGCTGCACCATCGATGGGCCCACGTCTTCATGCTGCTTTTTTTATTCAGCGGTCCTCGGCAATTCTTAGCGGCATGCTACGAACATGCTTCTACGGTAAGTTAGTTTAGTTTTTTCGCCCTGCTGAGGTACATGGCCGTCAAAGTGGTGGGATACCTCCATCCGTGAACATTTCGCTTGCACAGACTCCGACAGAAAGGGGAAATCGATCCCTCCGTGCCTAATTTGAGCTGCCCGGCCGATGCAGTTCGCTAGACTCTGGTGAGGTGGGGTGGGTTCCTGTGGAGCTCTGTGCTCATCCAATTGACAGCGGCTACCGCTGCTCCTGCTGCTGCTTCTCCTTTTGCTAAAAGGAGCCTGGTGTCGCAGAAGCAAGCTCCAGCCAAAACGGCGCCAGCACTGGTTCGAACCGTAGGAATGGCCATTTATGAAGTTAATGGCGCGCGTAATTCATTGCACGCTGTAACAGGACGCAGGAAGACTGCCAGTACAGTTAGCTGCGTGTGCGACAAAGCAAATGACATACAGACTAGAAAAGATAGGCATACGGAAATGGAAGGCTGAAAAGGAGGCATAGGATCGCTAGCTGCCGCTGAGAGAGGAGGGCGGACATTGATATAGTGGTGCTGATCTCAGACGTGACACCAGCTGGCTGGGTCTCATTGGGCGGCAATAGCCTGTCTTACAGAAATAATCATAATACAGTATAAGTAGACGAAAAAAGGGCCGAACGATCAAGTCATTGTTCGGTTCGATAAACAAAAAGTCAGCAGTGGGCTGCGAGTGGCTGGGTTCTCTATTGCGAGTTGATCCGTCGGTATTTTGGTGAGACATATGAGAACGGGCCTATTGACTGGTTTATGGACTGGTCAAGAAAAACGAAAGGAACGATTGTATACCTTGTTCAAAAAAGTTCGTGTAGTACAAAGTAAGCTACCATAATACGGATGCTAATAACGGCAGTAACAGCATTAGAATAAATAAAAATGTTAAATGGTTCGGTGTACATTAGCGGGTACAAGGCTCATAACTTAACGCGATCTTTCAAGCCTATGCGTAAGCACACACAATGGTAGAATAGAATATACTTGAGTTAATTATTGCCCTCTTTGTTTATTTTTCTCTACCTTTTTTATCTTATTCCTTTTCTTACCACTTCGTATTGTCATTCGTCCTTTTGCCAATGGTGTGCAGTGTATGCGTCAGCAGTTGCCTCAAACTGTTGTTTCTCTTTACACGCCCAACTCAACGTGCGGGTTCTCTTTCTGCTACTCAGAGAAGGAGGCCAATCCATCCTATGTCACTACATAACATAGGATGCCGCTGGGGAGCTGTCGCTGCTAAAAGCGGCGAGCAATGATGTTGTACGTAGTCTGCAGAAGTTCATCGCCTTTAGGAGACGTCGCCTGCTGGTTGCCTGACCCTGGTCGCTTTAATCCTCAGTAAAGGATCCACAGAAGGCAGAGGAGAGCTCAGGCGGGCTCAGGAAGGGAATTTCTGCCGGACTTTACCACCTGCTCACTGGACCTTATTGTGCATCACAGTCAAGCTACAACGTTGTATAATTCCACCGTTTGCTGGAAGTAGCTTTTACTCTGAGGCTAACCAGGAGAAGCTAGGAGCTAGGGAAGGACTAAAACCAGAGAGAGCCTAAATAGTCAAAAGTCGCGTGTCTTTAAAGCCGCCTGACCGGACCACCAATAACAACAGCTCCTTTCATCGTTAAGGCCGGAATTGCTTTGGAAGGAAAAACACGAGGTCGTCGTTGACGAGTCCCTCGAGAGTGATTCTCTATTGAATTCTCTTTTACATTACTCCTTTCATCGCTCAACGTTACTGCGCAGATAGACGCTAGTGCCGGTGCAATCTCAGTTCGACTGACTTTCAATCTTCGACCGGCCGTTTCTCTCGCTTACTGAACAACTGATTTTAAAACAAGTATTTTTTGGTACAGCAGAAGTGGCTGTTCAATTAATATACTGCACTTTATCCCAAAAAGGAACTAGCTTCCCAACGAATCCCTTAATTCCGTACTCTACTTGACGATGCGCTTGGATGAGATTTAGTATTTGTATGTAATATATTAGTACTTTATTTTGTCAACGTTGGTTTTGGCTCTCCGTGAAAAAAAGAAGGGGAAAAATAGACAGCTCGAAAAAAGCCGTCACCAGACCCACTCTTTTACAGATAGTGATCTCCGAACGCAGCAATTTTCGTTGGGTTTAATTGGTTATACACTCCTGATAGGACCCGTTCCTGGCCAGCAAGTTAAATAGGCGCGTCGTTCCAGTTGCACTCTCCCGTCTGTTCAGATCAAAGACATCCCTGCCCTCTGTGTCCTGGTTCTGGAGTGGACCGGGCCTAGTCAGTCGGCGAGTTTGTTAAGTTAACGTCAATTCGCTGGCACAGCACAACCAGCAACCTATCCAAAATTTGCCCCAAATTCCCCCAATGTTTCTATATCTTGACAAGACGCGAAAGAGAGACCTCATTCTTCTTACTCATATATCCGCCAAACACAGACCAAGAGATCAATACGTTACCGTTCGTCCTATTTTAGTGGTAGCAGCTGCAATTGTAGCTGCCGCTGTCCACTCGTGGAAACTGCTATAGTGGTCAGACATTCCGATTCGATTCTTTTTCGTCGTCACCGTGGTCTTCTTGTCGTGCTCACTAGATGGCTTGACGCCCCAGCCAGGACCTCGAGCAGCGGGACCGACCCATGGCCCATGGCGTTTGAGTTCTTTGATGCATCCTGTCCTAGGCTGTCCGGTCCGAAAAGCTTACTGACTAGTTGAGCCTCTTCCACAGGCCATCACTGGCAGGTAAGGCATTTTCGAGCTGATGTGGCCACATCCCGGAGGGGGGGGGGGGGACTGTCAGAGAACTTCTCGAGGGATTTCGGCAACTTTCGAAGTCGCCAAAGCCACAAGCACAACTACTAAGAACAATGCTACATTGTGGTATCAAGGGTCTTGATGCTAGCCAGTACCTGAAGCCGATGATCAAAGGGAACCGATTACCCCAGTAGATAAATAGTGAAAAGCCGTTGGGCCATCAACCAGCCAGATCGTCAGGTATTTGTTAGTTGAGAAGATTTTGCAGTTGATTCATAAAATTGGACTAACATGTGACTATATACGGCATTGTGACTATATGCAATATCGATTACTAAAATAATGGAATGGCATTGATGCTAAGAGTAGATTCTCTATCATTTGTAGTAGGCTTCCTTTCAGTGTGTAGACTACATGTAGCTGCAGAGCGATTAACTTATTTCTTTATGTGCTCTTCCATTAATAAAGCAGCCACCAATAGAATGTATGCATGTAAAAAGTGGGTTTGTTTTAAAGAAGCATAGCGGTTACGAACAACTTTCACAAAGGGTTCCTTTTAGGTGCCCCAAAATCGATTCACGCTTATTGCAATATATAAGCATAGTTAGCAGTCGACACAGATCGATCTATTTCTGATTACAGTACACATGATTTTAACCGCATTTTAAAACTAAAGGTTAACTTCTGAATTATGTTTCGGGATAAAAAAAAATTACGATTGTGTCGGATAGCTACGATTCAAACTACCATAGCACGATCTTATGCTTTAGGCTCTAGCTAGTCTGTAGCCCGCCCGGTCCTACCTTCCATAGGCTGTATAAAGAAATCTGCCTGTTGGGACACGCCGTAGATAGTTCTCTTACTACAGTCGCCAGCAGACCCCACTATTTTGTACTGAGAGCAAACTTTCAGGCTGTTGAAGTCTGCTGTGCTCTCATACCGCTACATAATGTGCGTGAAGCGACTCCGATTGCGGTATTCAACGACTTAGGTCTGCGGTACTACCACCTTTTCCAGTAGCTACGAGGTTCGCGTGCTTGACTGAGCCAGTTCGCAAACATCCCGCATGTCACTTACATTTAGAAGACATCCCATGTCTGACCCAGCAGATACAGCCAACCAGACCCAGCTACGGCTACTCACTCCCAACAGCGCGCATTCGTACTGGTCCCTTGGCTAGCCCCTATTTACGAGTGGGTTAAATGGGCCGAATAAGTCCAACAATGGCGTCTTGCTCCAGTTCTAATCGCGAGGGAGCTTGAAAAAAGTTCAGTGTCATAGTACATACACCACGTCCAGCATGGCCCTTTTCACAGCACTTGTCTTGAGGTGGGGTGGCCACAGTCAGGTCGGGTCACTAGTAATAGTTGGGTCAAACCTTGAATGGCAGCAATGCGGGCCGATATGAGGATGTAGATAGTTTAACAACAAGCGCGAGAAGGTGAACGACGACTATGGGGAAAAACGCATTGACAGCATTAGATAATGGTTACTAGCAACTGTGATCCCCCTGGGGCACAAGTGCAGCGCTGGGGAGTGTTTCTTCCCCCCTGGCGCTTTTCTCCCCATTAAATACGCCCTACCGTATCACCCTGAAGCCTGTTCTCATTCCGAAAAGCTCAATGGCGGACAGGAAACGCTTGGAAGATGCCCCAAGGGAAGTTGTGCCACTGAAACATGACCGTAGAGACGGCTGTTGTTGCGCTACCGTTGTACAGCACTCCCTGTCTCATTGCGGTATCATCGTCACAATGACGAGCACAATTATAATAAGTTCCAATGATACGAGATTAACGCCATATGATGCGATAGGACCTATCACCTAATCAGTATGAATATCTGCGCATATTTAGGCATGGTCATTGTTTATCCACCGACAGGTACCTCTACAGCAACAACTTTAAAAGCTGATAAATTGTGGATTAAACTTTACTGTTAGCCACCAGTATGTTGTACCAGTTTCTGTGGATAGCCGTTGTCTGCGTGTTTAGGACGATCTAATAGGTTAGGTTAGGTACAACAATGATAAACAAAAACCATCATATAAACGCCTCGGCCTCGCAAACGGAACCGTTTTGGTGAAATATGTGGTGAAGATCATACGCCTGGATTCAAAGGCATGTAAAAATGTGGGCGCGTAAGATAGCAGTAGGTGGAAAAAGTGCCCTGAATAGAGAACGAGAGTTAACGGTCACACAGGATAATCACAAGGTTGTGCTATTGATATACATGCTGCGTGTATATTAGCCAATCAACCAAAACAACAATGAAGGTAATGTTCAGGCTAATAATCAGGTGAATAGGTACACTTAGATACCTGTCCTCGCATTCTACCTTAAATGTCGTTGTCACCTAAAACTGATGATTATATACACATCACCTATGTAAAAAAAATTATATAGGTAATGGGGCAAAATAAAGAACATGTTTGCCACATCAATGCTCTAATATGTATTTATCCAAGTGAAACATATATTGATTGAGAACAATGACAGCATCAACGAACATTGTAGAAAGGCGATCGTACATATGCGGCCTGGCGATCGTCTAACTGAGAACTACGGGGCTCTTATTAGCTGACTCGCTTGTCAGATTAGGTCCGGTTAGTGATGGTTGGATACGTGAAGTATAGTTCTTTAATTTGCTTAATTTTTTTAGCTATGATTTAAGAGAGGTGAGGGAATACCGGGACGATGAAGGGTATGCGCTGATAGAAACAGACGGCTTGAGATTGCTGCGGACCTCAGTCTTTCTTACTTCATTTCGTAATGAAACACTGTGATGCAGAAGACTTTCTGCCAATACGAAAATTCCGAATGTGACGGGGAATATATCCAGTCGAAGGGACGAGAGAAAAGGAAAAATCGAGAGTGCGAGAAAGTCAAGACTCCTGAAAGCGTTGTTTGAAAGGGCGTTAGAAGGGGTGCCTAATGAAAGGCCCAGTTTTCTTAAATCGGAAGGCCCCTGTCTTCCTGCCACTTGATCAGCAGTGCTAAATATAGCAAGTCATCCAGAATCTAGTCACAGTGGGCAGTGACAAAAGTGAAATCCATTCATCTGATTTGCGTTTAAAAAAGCGGAAGTGACAGTCTCTCGGCGAATTATATATGCCCATATGACATAGAGTATATTAAGACGTGGTCAGAAGCGGTGAAACGCCGACAAAGAGTATACTCAAACATCTGAGTTTCCAGCTGATGTATGTTGCCAGGTGCTAAATCGCTAACATCTCTCTATATTAGGCTCTTCTCATTTAACCGTTACACTCAATCAGGTATACCTGAACAGATACGCATAAGTCGAATTCAAATATAATAGTCGTATAGTTAAAGTGTCTTTTAGGGCTAGCAAAGCCAGTTTATCCTGAATGACAAGAATGTCTAGGCACCGATAGCGAAAGCTTATTTTTGCGGCGCTAGCAGTTCACTTATCCTTTTTGCGTTATCCCGAAAAATATCACATAAAACCCATTGGCGTTTTTTGTTATGTATGCATCTTGTTGGAACTCACGAGTTTTCTGGTCGTAATCCGATTCAAGCTGGCGCCACTAGAGCTACTACCGGTATTTCAGGCAAACCAGAAAGGCTTCACTTTTGTTAGGAGGGACTGCACTGTGCTGGAAACTATACCTTACTCATTCAGTTCTTACATTAGAAACGCTGCCGCTAAAGCCTAAATTAGTAGCAGCAAGTCAGAACAATGAAAGAGACCGTATAGGTCTCTTTCATTGTTCTGACTTCTTCGTATAGAAGTGCAGGGAAGTCGCTAGCCCTTAAATGAATCTGTGTACAAAATGATAGCCGCACGTGCTTCAAGCCGTTTTTCCTTTCAGTTAACGCTGAAGCTTGCCAAGCGAAACAGATATATTGGAGTGCTGCAGGCTGATCGTTGGGGTCGGTAACTCTGTCAGTACCCACGGAACGTTATTCTGGGAGGGTAACCACTGCTAGACACAGGCGATAAATCCGTGAAGCGACGAGGGTGTGCCGTGCTTTGGACGTGTTAAGAAAGATCGCAGGACAGACATATTGGGCTGTTCAAAAGGATTATGTAAAGGGCTTCCAACGTGAGTAAATTTTTTATGCGGGTGTCAATTGTGCATAATGTAGGAGAAACGCGGTACGCACAAAGCAGTCCTTAGCCCAGGCCCGCGCTGAACCTTCAGTTTATCTTTTTCTTTTTTTATTAAATGGTCACTGAGACATTGTCTGGGTGTCAACGCTCGTTCGACAGAGGTAAATTTCTATTCGAAGGTTTTAAAAATTTGTTATTCGATGAAGAGCGTCTGTTAGCCAGAGAACGTAGATAACATGATATAATGCAAATTTACCAAAGAGAAAATAGGAAATAGTAAATAGAGAAATAGTAAAATCAAACCATCTAAAGGACCTAGAAGCAGGTTCATGAGCTATCATCAACCAGATTCGTAGCTTGACGAGGGCCATGTTCGACGCAGCAAACGAAGTGTCAGTCGAAAGTCTTCTCATTTCCCGACGACGTTAATTATATCGCGAAGGGACCTTTAATTATTTAGCAATTCGCTGACAGCCACTATAAAACCAACCACGAGTAGGGTTACCATGCGACGGACGAACCCTTCACCAGAACAGGAACGTTCCGCAGGTTTTGAGCGAATGCACAGTTAGACATACTAAATATTTTATTACGTGGGCATACGGCATGCATATTGGCGCCAAATCAATGAAGATATATCTTTACGTGTCAGTTTAGTATACAGTGCAGCTAGGACATTAAGCAACACAGTCTACACTTGTATAAAATATTAATGGTACTCAGTAATTGGTTGCCATATAAGATTTTCGAAATAAATGGTGTAGATCGTATCATGGCAAAAGTAAACAGCCGAAACCAATTTTCAATGCTCAAGTAAAAAAAATCTCCGCAGTTTTTATCGTTACGCTACTACGTTTAGTAAACTTTTTATAAACTCATAAGATGAGTTGTAGAAGACTGGTGTAGTACGAATACTTGACACTCAAGTGTGGATAAAGTCTTAATTAATAATATATAATTAACAGTATGTTTAGCTGTTTTTAGATATCATATACTACAGACGGGTGCATGGTAAATATACGTTTACCACGCACCATATATGTGGTCGAAGACCATCCTCCTCTGTTGAGAAAATAGGCACAACACGGCAAAAAGCTTCATGTTTAACATGTGCCCAGTTATATATATATATTTTTTTTGATGAAATGTTTTGCCCAAGTAAGCAAAAGCGTCTATTTGAAAAAAGACTTAGCATCTCACATCCGTCGTATAAAAAAAGAGATAATAACTGTTAAATGATAAACATTGACTTATGTTATTGAAAAAGATACGCTGAAATTATTGAAACTACTACTAATTAGTACCAAATAACTTTGTGTAGAAAAATGACTTTTTAAAATTCAAATTTAATAATTTTTAATTATTTTATAAAAAATAATTTTACAATCTATACAGTATTTAATAAACTTTTGTAGTACAACCAGGAACAAGTGACCTTAAACAGGTTGTTACTTGTGGCAGCGGGTACTCTCAGGTAACCGATCAACAATATTAGCTGCGAACGTACCGGTCGTTTTTTCTGGCGTAGCGTTCCCTCTAAAAAGCAAAGTAATGTTTTTGAAAAATTTACTCAGTGAGTGATTCATATACGATATGCTTATAGGGAAACAAGGATTTCGGTACCACTGTGGCATACAATACTATAATATCCATATGATAACAAGCAATCACGTGGCTAACTCAACTCTGCCCTCTGCTTCAACATGTCTGAGCAAATTCAAGGTAAGCCCTATTAGCGGTATACCGGATAGATGTTTTACCCGATTCGAGGTAAAAATAAATACATTACAGTGCATATTGGATGAACTGTAATAGCAAGTATAGGCCGTAAAACATTAACTCTAACAGTCTGCTTGATAAGATTATTCCTGCTCCAGCTGCTATTTTTCTAGAGTATACCGTTGTCTAAAACTGATATAGGACATATGATAATGCTACATTTTTTGGTTCCTATTACGCACGATCATGATACTATTATAAAACTGGAGATTTTTTGTTTTTCAAAAAAACCGGTATTGCTTATTACATATCTGTTCCAGATGTTTGTGACAATGCTGAAATATTATGTGCTGTTGGAAAGACACTAAGACTGTTGTCACTGTTTTGTTTGTATCAGAAAAATTTGCCCCTGAGTTCCGATTCTGGAGATTTCAGATATATCAGTTGAAAAAATAATTGAATTCATTAAATTGACTTTTCGCCAATGTTGAGACGTTGCGGAAAATTTGTTTTGCATACAAGGGACTTCTTAGCTACAGAAGAGATGCGAGCTGACCTGGGTTTTTTTCTTCGAAGTTCACTTGAATTGCCGGAGTAGATCCTCGTGAAACGTAAAGCCAAATGCATTTTTGCAAAGAAACTCAGCAAGCCGCTTTGGAGTGCTGTTCTTAGCTAGAGAGTCCTCGTCGCACGCGCGCCACACCTCACTTAAGTTTCTTTAGTTGTATCGCAACGTAATAGGCCCTTCTCTGTATGTATATACAGCACCGGTTTGAGACATCGGCATCTTTCTTAATTAGTTTACAAGTTCAAAATGATTAATTGAGATAACAGCGTACAACTGTTATTGCTTATTTCCTTTTATAGGCACAGTACTTTTTGTCACTTCAAGCTGCTTTGGTTAACTATGTTCACTCTTACGTGAATACAGATACAGGAATTTTCTCTACTTAAGGCTAAGCGCTCCTTGTACCTCGCGATTTTCCGTTTTCCTTTGGCCCCTCGGTACTTCCCTACGGTGCAGCTGGCAGTCAAGGCTCCCCATTAAACTCTTCAACAATCTGTTAACTTAAACAGCTGTGGGCAGCTATAAACGACCTCAGCGAATTTCCCAGCATGGCGAGATCCATGATTTCATTTGACATGACTGCTAAACCATACCGCCTGCACTCGGAAGCGTGTTGTTTGACTGTTCCTTTTAGAAGGAAGTAACAACACGGGACTACCGAAACTGACCGTGACAGATGCAAAGCGTAGACGCTTATTGCGTTTACTAGACGCGCATGGGAGAAAGTATGGAGCTGCAAAAGTGGTTGGTAAAATGGGACCGTTTCCGTTCCATCTAAGTCGAAGACAAACGGTACGAAAGACAGGGCCTTAGGGATGGTCCGAGTATGGGTAATCCCAAAGAGAACAAAGAAAAAAATCACCCACAAACGTACGAGGCGAATTTTCTGATCGTTCGCTAAATACGTACAGCCTATCATTGACGTAAGTATATAGAGATGCCCGTAGCAAAATGCACCATGTTCCCTTTCACCCGCATATTTTATCGCGAGCTAAAATGATCACTACCCAAAAAGCGTGAAGAGTGCGGCTGACGTTACACTCCGCGTGTTTAACGACAGTCATATAATATTGTAGTGTTTTGTGTTTAAGACAAAGTCGTGGATGCGAATTAGATAGATTAGTGTACTGGTGACCTTTAACGCTTCTTTATTATCATTGGTTAATTTTTTTTCTGCGCTAATTATGTTTTAGATATATGACTTGTAATAGCCAAATGGTGATATACTCTTCGACATACTTTTCGTGTAATATATATCATTATCTCGCATATGCAGCTGTTTTAGGTGACAACGGCCGGACCTATATTCAAACAGACATACCAAAAGGACGTTAAGCCTGCCCATCAGACCATAAACGACCATAAACAAACTATCAACATAAATATTATGATCCGATTAGTGGCTTTGATGATAAAGTTGATATTTAGAACTAGAACCCACTCAGGTGCAGCCGGAACTATTGGAAATAATGTTTATGCAGCGGACCTATCATGGCCGAGAGTATAGATTGCCTTATTTATAGAAGGGAAGAACAGTGTATCATACAACAAGTGCAGCTGGGTCACCTGGCTCGAAATGGACAAGGCGCTTGTCAATGGTATTTCGGGTTCGTCACATGTTGTCCGGCTTAGACTGAAACGCGATTGATATGGTGCATAATAGCATTGATTAATGAGAAAATTTCCGTTTTCATTTATACAACTACTATTAGTTTGATACGGAATTTCAATTTTTTTTTTCTATGCAGTTACCAAGACGAAGACAAATATATTGAAGTTATTATGACTAGCACATAAGTTCCTTGGTATCAAAAAAAGGTTTTCTTTCACACAAACACAATGTATTTATTCCACATAGATTGCAAACGATTTAAATGAAATTTTTAATACTGCGTTCGTTTGTGCCTATATCTATAAAATTTAACGCTAATTCATAGCCATGTCATCTCTATGTGCAGAAGATGACATTTGCTTTGGCTGTATCCGCCTTCCTGTGTCTCATAAGCGAGTCATTTTCGGAACTGGATTCTCTCACAGTACATTATATCTCCTAATATTCAATACATATTTAACAAGCTTGATGGGAACCTATTCAGTGAGAGCGCTTTCCAGCTTCGTTTCGTAGCTCTGCGCTTGTACACGTAATTACAAGCCAAAAACGCCGTGAGGCCATGCGAATAGATCCTCATAGCAATAGACCTGGTTATTTTTGGACCAGGACTTTGTTTTGTATTCATTCGAGCACATTTAGGTTTCTCAAGCCTTTCCATTAATTAGCCTTAATCACTCTGCTACTGTTAAAAAAATATATTGTATTATATACTAAGAGAGCAGAATCCTTTGTTAAATAAATATATTGTACATAATTGAGTGCTTTTAGCTTCATAGTTTCTTAGCCGATTGTTGGCTCAAGTTTCATAACGTTCTCATTTTAAATCTTACTTGCTTGCTGCTTTTTTTGTAAATGTCTTCGCTTTGCTGGGCCTTTCTCACAATTTGGAATAAGACTATGTTCGGCTGTGTGTTGAGGTGGCACGGAATGAGTATTTTATTGGTTGGCGAGCAAGAGAAGAATCCCTTAAATCGCCATTGAGGTGCTGGAAGATTTCACGTTAACATGGACCAAAAGCCCCCCAAGACGCAGAACCACCGCAGCCTCAAAAAGACAGGTCAGAAACAGACACAAATTATGCCAAAATTGTCGAAACTGTTTTAAAGGCCATCGTTTTTCCGCAAGTTTTTTTTTTGCTGAGCTTAGCGTTTAACGACCTGCAATCTGTTATGATGTTCTAAAGTTACTTCACTTGATACAAATACTCCATTGCTGCTTTAATTCATGATTTTCTGTAACCGATTCGCATGTCCTTTTTAAAAGTGTCTTCTCTGCCCTAGATACAACCACGACTGTTCCCATTAAGTAAGTTCGACACACCGTCATTCCTCGTATCATTGAAAAACAGAGCAAAAACAAGCGAAACCTTCTTGTGTGTCGCTGAAATTAGTTACTCTGTTCCCTCTCAACTGAAGAATTATCATCGGACCAATCCACTGTCCCAAATTCAAATTGTAGCGATTAACTAGCTGTTAGTCGAAAGTCACTTTATAGCCTTTGGGCGCACATTGGCGTTTTCATCGCTGACAGCCGCTGAGCAATGAAAACGTGATGGGCACTCCGTCTATGTCAATTAATGTTTGAAGCTACTTTTATATTCAGATGTCTAACATATGTACTGAGATTCTCTCTATTTTGCTTGATCTCATGCAATTATAGAAGTCGACTCGTACGGTCTGTATCATCAAGGGTATGATTAGGTTCTTCGAACGCTAGCATTCTGAGTAAGCGTGACTCTTTTGCCACTGTAAAAATATAGATCAATTTGTGCTAACACTGAGCAGCTGCCTTCAGAGGAAAAATGGCTTTTCACGCTTTTGTGAACAAAATACCGCAACGTAAGAAGAGAGCTAATAGGTTGATTTCTTATTAGTATTTAAACTACAACTAAATACAGTAGATTTCTGCTTGATATTTTATGTTGCATTATGCGGATAGCATACAATATCTGAAAGCAGATTTTTGCTTTCAGGCTTCATAAATTCCAATGGTGTGTGACACTTTGGCAGCAAACGTTACTATCAAAGACGTTCCCTTCCTTCTTAAATGAATGAACTCAAAACATCTTATTATTTCAAACGTATCAGCTCACCAATGGAAGTAATATTTTCTCGTAAAACCCTCCCAGCGTTTCCTGTGTAAGCTGATCCTAATTTCCCTTGACCATGTACGAGAAAACTCCATTATACCGAGAATCTCAGAGAAAAAGATTAGTGGTTACTGTATCTGTATTCGAGGGCTGGCGATAAGAAGTGGATGTATAAGCTCATTCTATTCAAACCCCCACGTATTATGGTTCTTGGATGAATCATTGGCTCAACCGTGGGAATGGCGAAAGGGCGGGGGGGGGCGGGGGGGTAGGCACGCAATCGTCTATGAAAACTACTATTTCCGATAATATAGCAGCTGATTGTGCGGTTACTCATAAGATGAGATACTCGTAACTTGATAGAACGAGAGTTCCAAGTAGTTCCATTCATTTTAGCATACATCGGCGAATAGAGACTGTATACCTAGGCAACGACAAACAGAATCCCCATTAACGAACAGTGTAACAGAGGTCACCGTTTTGTCAACGTCTATTGAGGAATAATGGACAGTTTTGCGCATTCATATCGAAATCTAGCCATACAAATGTACTATGCCTATACTAAAATCTACTCTTAGTAACGAAATCAACACTAAGGCTTTGCAGAAAATTATCCTTTCTCTTTGTCAAACGTTGGCCTTGTCTATAATAGGATCTGATGGCAAGCACAGTAACCAGTAATAAGCAAGTAAAATACACAGATAGCTCGGACATGCCTGCGTCATCCGCCGATA